GTTTAGGCTGGATCTAAGGCAGAAATTCTTTCCAGTGAGGGTGGTGAAACCCTGGCAGGGGTTGCCCAGAGAGGGGGTGGAGGCCCCATCCCTGGGAACATTCCAGGCCAGGTTGGCCGGGGCTGTGAGCAACCTGATGTGGTTAAGGTGTCCCTGCTCCTGCAGGGGGGTTGGGCTGGGTGACCTCTAGGGGTCCCTTCCAACCCAAACCATTCTATGATTCTATGATCTGCACCACCTGCAAACCCTGCTGAATATACGACTTAGTCCTTTCAGGAATTTGTCTCACCAGTCTCTTAAGGAAAAGCCTAATAAACTCCGGGATTGAAACTCCGAAGCCAGGTTCCCACATCACAGCACTCACTGGAAGCGCTCCAAAGAGCCATCAAATCCTATTATAACATGATAAGGACAAGATAAAGCTGCTAAACTAGGTAAGACTTGGGGGCTGGGGGAGAGGAAGAGGGCTGGAGGCAGAAGACACGAAGTCGATCACACAACTGGAAAAATGAGGATGCTGAGATTCGCACCTGCGCTTCCAGGTGAAAGATAAAAAATACAAAAAACCCAAACAAATGCAAAGTGAAACCTATTTTCTGAATATACCAGTTCATTCTCAGGATTGGCTTTTCTGAAACTTAAAGTCTTGATGCGCTGCTTCTCAAAAACAGAGCTAAAATTATCCCCGGTGTCAGCAAAGCCACCAAACCCGCAGCAACGAGGGACCGCATTTTTGCTGCCAAAAAGGAAAAAAAAGACTTTGTCTGGGTTTACCATTCTAGGGGCTGACAGTGATGGATGGGAAGGTTCCATCACCAGCATCCGTCTCCATTCCCCTGCCCATGACGGCATCTCGGGCCGGAGCTGGGGGGAGCGGGTCGCCTGCCCCGCCACTCAGGTTGGCGTCACCTGCTCTTGAATGTCTGAGTGCTCCTGGGTTTGTCTCGCAAAATGATGGGAATTTAAGGAATTGTGCTTTTAAACCCAATACTAAATGTCATCTGTTTCACTTAGCATCGAGGGCTTTTAGGGAAGAGACGCTGCCTAGTGACCCACGGTACCGACGTGGGTTACGAGGCTGTTTGCAGCCAAAAGAAAAAGAAGGAAACTCTTATTAAAAGCTAAATGCTTCCCATTATCCTCAGCAATGTTGCCTGTCCCTCTGCGGACACCGACTGGGAACGCGGCTGCTACTGGAGCAGCCCCGACACGCTGATGGGACACAAATTAGGCGGCAAGAATTTAGGGCTGAAGGCGCTTCTGAAAGAAAAGTAAGGCAAGGCTTGCCTTATGGCGTATGGTACGGTTGCAGATTTTGGAGATGATTCATTATGAGCATCTCCCCTACAAGGAAAGGCTGAGGGAGCTGGGCTTGTTCAGCCTGGAGAAGAGAAGGCTGAGAGGGGATCTCATCAACACCTACAAATATCTCAAGGGTGGGGGTCAAGAGGGTGATGGAGCCCTGGCCCAGGCTGCCCAGGGGGGCTGTGGAGTCTCCTTCTCTGGAGATCTTCAACCCCCGCCTGGACGCTGTCTTGTGCCCCCTGCTCTGGGTGAGCCTGCTTGGGCAGGGGGGTGGCACTGGGTGAGCTCCCGAGGGCCCTGCCAACCCCTGCCATGCTGGGATTCTGGGATTAAACAGGGATCCTTCTCCCAGGCTTCTCAGCTGAGTGCTGGAAATTACCAGAAGGACATGAAAAAATTAAAATATACTCCCTGCCAACACGCAAAAACTCACCGGGCGATCTTGCTCAGAAACCAATTTGATCTCACTACTGATGGGTGCAGCTGAACTACAACACGACCAGCAAAATGTTTTATAAAGGGCAAAGGAGCATCTGCTGACAGTGTTAAGTGTCGGGTGATGACGAAACCAACTCAAGTGATTTCATTGAGTTATCCAAGGTAGCAAAAGCAAATCCGCCGCTATTTAGGCTCTGATACCATTTGCGCTCAGGCCAGGCCTGTTTTGCTCTGGGGTTTAATGGGAGCCACGTTGAGCCAAGGAGCATTTCGGAATACTCTGCAGCAAACAGGGTTATCGTGTTCTAAACAAGGTACATCCCAATCTCCCCATCAACCGAGAAAGCCAACATGGTGGTGGGTATTTGGGAAAAAACCTGCCCCAAATGACTTTATTAAACATTTCCCCAACCCTTTATCAATCCTATCAAGCGTTTTCCATGCCACGGTCCCTAATCCATCCCAATAATAAATCCACCCCCCTCGTAACAAGAGAGATTCCCGTGCAGAAGTGTGTTCACCCCGCTTGAGCTTAATTACAAAAATAGGAAGAAAAAAAGCATTTTGCTGGCCTCGTGCTGTATTTTTTTAATCCTTCTGCTGAGCGGGGTAACAAGCAACTTGAGGGAAAACTTCAGAGCTCGTTGCGGTGTGAGCCAGACGAACTGAAACGAGCAGGGTTGGGAGCAAAGCCGTGGTGCTGGCACCGCGGTGCTCCACGCACACCTCTGCAAGAGGGGGTTATTTTGCCCCAAGGCCTCTCTTTTCCATAACAGCAACTTTGCAAAAAAGGTTCATTCCAAGAAAAAAATTCCCTGCAGCAAACAGCGAAGACAAACAGCTGAGGCCAGGAGAGGAGCTGAACTTCTTAAGAACATAAGCCAGTTATTGGTTTCAAAACCACTCCTAAGTAAACTGATTTTTGATAGTCCTCCTCATGTTTTACCCACTCAAATCCCTCCTGTTTTTAAATTACGCCATCTCAAAAAGCAGGGATGCTCTGGGAAGCATCAAGGCAGCATTAAATAGAAAAAGGAAGAGTAGAGCTTTGATCTCTTAGAATTTGCTGCGCTGCTTCTGTCCTGAAGATATCACCAAGTGTCATCCTGGAGAGCCCCAGCGAGCTCTGCAGGCGTTCACCAGTCCCCAATACTTGGGGCATCACTAAAAGCCCTGGCTTGGGCCCCGACGTACAGACGGGCAAAGCGCGACATGGAAAACAGGATGATTTTGCATCTTACGTTCACACTCTTCCACGTCCAGGTTGAACTGCTGCAAGGCGCCCAGCGTCAGCTGCCGCACTTCGGCCTCCAGCAGCAGCTGCATCAGCGAGGTGGAGAGGTGCTTGCACGCTGACATGCAAGCCGTCTGCGCCACCTTCCCCTGCAAGAGAAAAGGGAGACTTATTATGGCCACCGAGCACAAAACGAAAGAGGAACTTCCTTAGACCAGGACTAGCCAGTCCTCCACCCTCTTTGATGTCTCCCATGTGCTACGGAACCTTCACGTAGTGCTCAATCTCACAACCACTGTCTTTCAAGGGAATCACCTTTTAAGATTCCCCATTGCTACTAGCAGGGTTGGACGTTGTCAGGTGCAGAGAGCCTGGGAGCAGCTCAAATCCAGGAAAACCTTGGGACGTTGACAACTCAACGCATCTCTCATCATCACGTCCTAACGTGGGCAAGACAACATACCCTATTTTATTCAACATCCTGCACAAGACTGCCTGAAGTAACCTTGTTAGGTCAAGATCATGCCGATAACAATTTCAAACTCCAGCCTACAACTCAACCAGTCTATGTATGTTCCAAGACAGGAATTTCAAAATCCCTTTCCAACAGCAGAGGCTCATAGTTCAAGGTTTAGTCTTGGCTACCAGGGAGCAGAGAGCCAGGGCCACGCCGTTGTGACAACGGTGTCTCTAGCACATTGATGCTCTTCAGCCCGCTCCCACCACCGTGCAGCACCTTCCAGAAGCCAAAGGGGACTGAGGAGAAGGGAATATCAAGGTAAGGAGGTGACTGAAGAAGTCAGTTGTTTTTACATGGATAGGATTGCTCCCCAGGCCTGGGTGGTGGGGAATGAGCTCAGGTACCCAGACGCACCCTGCGCCTGCTTGTACCACGGGGAACGCGGTTATCAACACTTGCCTCCTCCCCAGCCATCCCTAATCCGTGGTGATTAAACAGGGGGTCTACAGGGAGGAGGCCGCGGCCAAGGCTGCCGTGCGGAGATAAACTACTTAAATCCCTTGAAATGTTCATATGTATAACGAAAGCATGACCCGTTATGAGTTTCAGCTGTTAAGGAAATTGAGAACACTGTCGGTAAATATTTATTTCTAACACATTTTCCCTGAGCCACCATGGTTATGTTCCACTTCTGAGGAACAATTGAGATCTCAAGCTATAAATTGTGTGAACAGTTCGTAGCAAGAGGAGCTACCCTAGATAAGCCTTCCATTTCCCAATCGAGAAACAATTGCAAGGCAGGAGAAGAATAATCGCAATAGATTATTTAATTAGCACGCTTACATTTTTGAACTGCTGAATTTTCGAATTATTGGGTGAAGCCCCTGCATTGACAGAATTGAGCTGTCAGGTAGGAGGCCTAGGATGCCTCCGAGGACTTATGATGTTCAAAGAAGAGAGGCGTTAAGGAAAGGGATGATGGTGGGGGTAGGGCTGGGCTGTGGAACAGGAGAAAGGGAGACGGGTGCTCAGAAAGCTCCATCTCCTGGGAAAGGCCATAAGCAGGTCATCTAGCTTGAGTACCCACGCCCTGACCTGGCTAGAGCATCAGCCACCAGGAGAGTCACTGTCAGAAGAGAAGGAAGCTGATGAGCACGGATGTGAAGAACTAAGATCCTTCATAAAGACCTACACGTTCTTGGTCCTCAAGACTCCACGAGGGGACCGAGGAAGGGAAGACCTTCCCCAAAACACCACAGATGCTCTGCCTCAGAGGAGCCCGGTCCTCCCAAGGACCAGGCTTGGGAGCAAGCAGGGACCACACTCCACGTTTAGCCAAGTGCTTCAGAAAATCCAAGCTGACTAACCAGAGGCATAAAAGGAAAACCTAAGCACCCATAATCACAGAATCATAGAATCGTCTAGGTTGGAAAAGACCTTTAAGATCATCAAGTCCAACTGTTAATAATAAGCACAAACTCGGGCCACCTCATGCACACAGTGCCTACAAAGCTAAGGTTTCTTTTATTCTTGCTGAATTTATTCTGCATCACAGCAGCAAGTCTCAGAGGCTACAGGTGCCACGCTCTCAGTGAACTAAAACCAAGCATCATTTAGGGGCCCTGAACACGTGGGAGCACTTTTTTCCCAACCTATCGAAATTTCTCCCTCATTTCCAAATGCTGAAAAGATTTCCCCCCATTCCTCAAGCCTTGCTGTGTGCCATCCAAAATTCGTGGCAGGTATGACTTGGGTAGATAAGATTGGGCGGATAAGATTTGCCCAGGTCTGCAATGTGTATTCAACCCATAAAAATGGGGAAATCCTTCGACAAAAGAGCACGGACTCGCACAAACCCCCCGATAATATTTCTGGATAATGGTGCTACCATGCAAACAGCTTCAGGAGGAGATTATGTTTTCAAACGCACACAAAAGACTTCGACGTGCTTTCTTGAAAACAAGGAGCGGCTTAGGAGGTCTCACGGATTTTTAAAAGCACTTTACAAATGGTATTTAAACTGGGATTAAGAGCGAGGTGTTCACGCGGCGTTTCAAGCGAAGTATCACAAGTTGCGCTACCGCAGCCCGGAGAGATGAGCAACTGTTTGACGCATGTTCTGGGAAGTGTTCTTAGCAGCTTTGCAAAGTTGTTTTGGATCT